AGTGTTTTTTTAAATATAACTTAATATTGTCAATTGCTCAAGAAAGACCCTGTAGATTTCATTGTTTAAATATAGATAATTTGGGGAAGAAAGGTCAGTGCCGGCTTTATCTATGGTGCAGGATGAGCGTCGCACTCGGGCGAAGGGCCTAGGTGGGCGCCCAGAACCGCTCACGACGCCTCCAAAGAGCCTGCGACCTCGCGGCGCAAGCCTAACATCATTTAGTAGCAGTAGAGCTCCTTGTGAAAGATTTCGTTCAGAGAAGTACTGCTACCTTACCTATTTCTGCCGCCAAGCAGTAATGTCAGCATTACTGTGTTCCGGTTTGGAAGGGTAAGGGTGCTGGTGAAAATACAGGCACAGGGGACTTGTCAACTTATGTCTCAGGTTGACGTGCGCATTGGCAGTGCCCCACAGATCTTTGCGATTTAAAGCTCTGAGTGGCATTGCAACTGTTATGGACAAGCGTGTAGCTAACCATAACGCGCTCGACTTGTTCGTCCCTTCACTTAATATTATATAAAAAAAAAATTATAATTGCTCCATTTGAACCAGAAGTTCCGATCGCTGGGGAAAATATAGCTGTTATGTATTCTATTTTGATCGCGTACCTACTAGAGGGCGCCAGGGTATTGATTCCATCCGGGCGTTACAAGGGTTAGCGCCGGCGCTGGGAAAGGTAGTAGAAACCAAACTACAAAGTGTATAATACTAGTGAAAACGTAATTTATAGACGTTTTGGTTCATATTTTTTATTTTCAAACTATGTTTCGTTTGAGTAAGAAAATTTAAACCAACTACTTGAATAATTAATTGTTAATTGTTTTTTAAGCACGAATGAACGTCACAATGTTTTACAATCATGATATTCAATTATTTTTTGTGAAATTGCTCCACTAGTTTGTTATACAAAAATCGAACCCTAAGAAACATTCCTTCGCCCCGGCTGCATTCAAACTAGCGCCTTCCAGCAATCCGTGCCAGCTCCACAATTCATTATTTCATAAAGTTTACTTTTACGTCTTTTCTTCCCCGGAGTAAAGATATGTTTATGTCAATTTTGCTGATGCTCTCTAATCCTCAAGTACCTAATCATAATGGAATATTAATGAGCAACGCCGAAAGTTTCGTGGTCGTTCTTCGCAGATAAATCTGCCCTCCAAATAAGCGCTATTTAAGTAAGGTATATTTATTTTTTATTTAAGCAACACTAGGTTACCGAGTTAGTTAAGTATTTAATTTTGGAAAGGTATTTGTGACCAGGTAAATTTTAAATAAAATCATAAACTGTGTCCCATAATGCAAATCCTGCATGTGTATAAATGTCAACATGGCTGCTTTCCTAGCACCAGGAAGTGGTGCAGTCGTAAAGCTTAGCACTTCGGTTTTATTGCTGATTGAGAATTATAGATTTGTAACCATTCCGTTGAATACAAATTTATTACTTGTGGCAAAAAAATATGAAGAATGTGGACTCCTTAGAATACAGCGCAATTAGTGTCATAGATATCTACTTAAGTTTATCGAGTTCTTAGGTTTCGCTATTTGTTACACATCGGAAATGAAGTTATTTCTACTTTACACGCAAAATAGGCGCCTTGACGTCGAGTTGCGGACACCAGCCCGTTACACCAAGTACCAAGTATTTCTAACCGACTTCAAAAAAAGGAGGAGGTTCTCAATTCGACTGTATTTTTTTTGTACGTATGTTACGCGATAAGTTTTTGTTGATTGATTTTGATGATTTTTTTGTTTGTTGGAAAGAGGGTAGGTACCTCAGTAGTGGTCCCATTCAAATTTGAAGAAAATATTCCACCTCTAAGAGTGGCAAACCAGGGGATGAATGACTTTTGAGGTCGGTTTTTTTAGTACTCTGCACTGAGATTATTCCGGATCTATATCGCGAATACTTGTTTTTTCCAACAAGCCAACGTTTCGGACCCTATACAGGTTCCATAGTCACGGCTGACATTAAGTGATTTACTTTTTATAAATCGATTTTAAGATACCTAATTCGTATTATTGATTTGAAATAAAAATGTATGTATCATAATATATCACCTTTCCTGACCTGCCCTGATCACGTCTTAACACTTTGATCAATTCACTTTAATTTATTTATTGACCTTGTTACAGAATAAATGTCACATTTCTCAAGTCAAAACAATGTAAAGATTAAAATAACTGAAATGCTGCATTAATTATTACAATTTCATTAAATAAAAATAACGCTGTATGCTGTCAGTACTTATGCGCTTGTATTGTTGGTACTATACAACACAATTTCCAAAATATAATATAATATAATAACATTATTCATCCGATTGCGATAAATAATAATAATAACGCACACATTCAACATAGCTCCTCACTAGCGAAACCCTGTGTCGCGGCTGCCATGGACACACACATAGACGACCACAAATTACACCCAAATTCATGAGACAAATAAATGTAGACCATACAAATATTTCTCCTGGCCCGGGAATCGAAGATTGTCCGTGGCAGTCCGGCATGGTAACCGTCCGGCCACGGAGGCAGTCAATCAAAATATCTAATTAAAACTTTAAAAAAAAAACATAGAAATTGTCATTTAACTTGCATAACTATCACTATGCATATTTTTAGGGCAATGGCAAATTCTGAGCTGTACCTCATGCGATGATGCATGATGATTTCAGTCACGTCTGTTGGAATACTGTTAGTTGAAATGTTCATTTTTGAAAGCTAAGCAAGATCGTTCATCTTATCCGATTTCGTAAAAAATGTCGGAGACGGCAGTTAGACACGAGAAAAACACTAACGGCACAGTGCACACAATCGAGCTATCCCAAAAACGGAATGATTAGGTAACTAACACCGCGTAGGTAATAACACATTAAGCTCGAAACCGATTAAGATAGCTAGCTACGATTCGTTTAAGAAAGTTGCGACCGTAAAAATGGAAGCAGAAAAGTTAATTCAAATGCATCGATTGTATAAACAAGATGTTTAGTAGTGCGTTTCCGGTTTGAACAATTTTTGTTTTCGAGATTCATGGATTGAACTTTCAATTTTACTCTCGATTTAAGGAATGAAACAACAGTTTTGATATTATCACCAAACACATTTACACACATTAACGTTGTTCAAATAAAGAATCAATGTTTGTTTGCACCAAGTGGACTAAAACAATTGGACATATAGATA